ACTTGAAAGTGGCAGCTGCTCTACTGCGTACCTTTGAACTCTCTAAAATTCTTCAACTTTTTGGTGAGATATTGGCTTTTATGTCGAATTATCAACATCACGAGTGTTTATACTCAGCTAATTCCAACAGCACAAGACATTCAAAGCAATAGCAACTTCCCGCAAGTTTTTTTTGAAGAAAAATGTAATGTTTCAGAGTTTGAGTGAAACTTTAGTCGAAAAAGAGACATCTCTTACAAGAGCATTTACCGTAACAGTCGACAACCGTTACGGTAAACGCTCTTTTATTACGGTAATTTGTACTGTGACAGTAGACAAGCATTACGAGAAGTGCTCTGTTATTACGGTAATTACTAAAGCAGGGATCAAAAAGGTAGGAACGATTCGCGTTTTTCTAAAAGTGACAGGCTATATCAACTGCAATCGTATGTGGGAATTCAATCGCTATCAGACATGGACAATATGCTTTGCAGCGAGCGGAAACGTTTGTGAGAGTTTTCTTTTTTTTGCTACAGAGTAAGTTCATTTTTAAGCCGTAGAAAGTGTGTATAAAAGGTTTTCCCTATCTTGGAGTAACAATCTACTCGTTCAGCTTCTTTAAGAAATCATTTGAAGGCATGAGTAGGGGAGGCAATCATTTCTGCAGGAAAAAATTATTTCTCAATAGCAAAGCTTTTCAAAAGACCACCATTAGCATCTTAAAGGATGTGGTGCACAGAATTGCCACCAATGCCACCATTCCATCAACCATATCATTCTGGCATTCTTTAAGAAGTTTTTTCTAAGGTTTTGCTTTTGATGTGCTTTGAATAATAATAATGTGTTGATTCGTTAAAAAGGTTCAAAAAAGTTCCTTCAAGCATATAAAAGCTCGTGAAATTGTGAAAAACATTTAACATCGATGGGTTTTTCACATAATATACTCTTGTACCGTTGCCTTCATCGCTAATTTTTAATCTTTCAGGAAGTATGGCTGCCACAGATGGTATACGAACTACTATACTGTTGGCTCTCGCCTTTGGTGTAGCAAATGGTATAGTCCAGGGCTGGGTGTACAAGTTTGGCTACTCCTACAAGGTTAGCTTTGTTGTTGAAAAATGATCTCTTTTGGCTTGACAAACTGATTAAACTATCTCTCTGGCTCTCAGTCTATTGATTCTAGAAGGAACAGTACAGACACATCCTCGAACTTGAGGCTCGAGCCAAAACTGCCTATTGTGACGATAGGCCAACCTCAGACATCATATGTTAAAAATAAATCCACTCCGGAGCAGGAACTGTAACCCGGATCCAACATCACTTGGAATGACGGAGCATATCTCCGAACTCCCTTCTCCCCGACCCGAACACCTTGATTGCCAAATAACTTGACTTGGGATGGTGCAACATACATAGCTACCTCCGAAGCACAATCAACGATAGAAATAGTTCCCGAAATTCCCAGCAAAGACGAACCTGTGGTCAAAAGTACGCCATTTGGGGTGCTGGGCCAAACAACTACCCGGTAGGGCGCAATACTGGCTCAAAAATCGGCTTCGTTAACGTCTACGCCCAGAGGTCGTGGTTTTGACGGCGTTGTAGACGCTACATATTTTCAATGAAGTACGCATGTTGAAGACTCATACGACTAGGGGTGACTCACGACGGCAGTGGAAGAGAAGTTTTGGCAATTTCGGTTAACAGAAGCCTGCTATTTATGTGGAAATGTAGACAACCGAAATCTCATTTAAATACCGCATCCATACTCGTTCTCGTTTGGCTGATCATGCGCAACCCTCTATTTTCACCAATTTCGAAACTTCTGTTTGAAAAAAAAGGTCCCTTTCTACTTCACCGACTGATTTACCTTACTCTCTGCCCCTCTGTAAACCGCTTTCGGAGGAAACATATCGGGGAGGAAATAGTTAAAATTATTCTTGAATTAGAAACTCGAGGGGAAACTCTCTGTCGTGACGATTGTCCTCAGGTCATATGGTGAACTGAAACTACACTAAAGCTGAAAAAATTGCGGCTTCAAACATCGGATCCGTAGACGGCCACGCCCAAAAACGGACGAGTTCCGATGATGACATAGAAGCTGCACCCCTTACAATGAAGCACATTTGTCGAAAACCCGAACAATTAGTGGTGACTCACGATGGTAGTGGAGTGCAACTTTTGGTACTTCTAGCATACAGTATTCTGCTAATTACGGAAATGCAAACGAATAAAATCTCGTCCAAATACCGTATCCAGACCACTTCCGTTATACTGATCTCGCCCAACCCCTTATTTCACTAATTCTGACAAGCTGAATATTATAATAAATAAATAAATCTAAATACTGCCAATTTTCTTTCCTACGCTACTGATCTACTATTCTCCATAACAATCTCGCTCATTACATAATAAGCATAGCTGAAAACTATTGTGAACCGTGCCTGCGAGCTATTCTTCCGAAAAGAAGTTGTGCCACTCGCTCAGGCATTCGAGGGCAATAACACATTCGACGAAGCGGAAGCTAAGTGCGTGGCTGAAGGCGGACATCTGGTTTCTATCCACAGCGATGAAGAAAACGATTTCGTCTACGGTACGTTACATGTAGCTCGGGCGATATCCGTCCTGATGACAGACCTCACTCGTTTCATTTGCTCAAGTAGCTCTAATTTAGATATCTCGATGACAAAAATGGTTTCCAAGGATTATAGAGACTTTACTTGGATTGGCCTAGGGCGATTGGATTGGCCGAAAGACGACAAGTGGAAATGGACTGATGGCACGCCAGTGGATTATTTGAATTGGGCACCTGCGGAGCCAGATAACATACAGAGAAAAGAACACTGTGTAGAGGTTAATGTTACATTCATATGTGGCCGAATCACCAATCACTCTTCGACAAAGAAGTGGAGTTCGGAGGGAACATGTCTTACAGGTTATGATAGATTGTGGCAACTAATAAGAAGTCGGATACCAGTTGAAGTATTAGGTTGAGTCATAAGTCCTCGGACAGAATGATAGCGATGACTTCTAGAGATCATAACTCGGGAAAGAGGAGACGAAAATGGACGCGCGTGGCATTGTTAAATAGAGTATGGAAAGCTCTTCAAAATACATGCTAACGAACCCACCCCCAACTGTTTCCTTTCCTGTAACCATGCCCCATGATCTCAAGCCGTCGCAACTCCATCTCGCAACACCACCCTATTTCTTTTTTTTTCTGGCCAAGAACCCGCGAAGATCGATAGACGTATTAAGCAAGTTTACAAGAAGGGTGCTCCTGCAAGATGCACAATTCACAAGTGGCACACGAAGTTCACGTCGTACGACCATTCCATCGAAAATGTAGACCGGCCGGGACGCTCATTGGAGTTTGATTTGGAGGTGCTGCGGAGCCAGGTGGAAGCCGATCCGTATCAAACAACTCGCGAACTGGCAGTGACCTTTGGGGAGTCAATCCACAATTATACGTGGATTGAAGTCAATCGGCAAGGTGCGAAAGCTCGGTCGATGGGTGCCTCATGCTTTGAAGCAGTATGACATGGATTTTCGCGCCAACATGGCACTTTCTCTCCCCACGCTCAAGCGCAGGAGATGGTCAGGTGTATTCGTTAGTATGTATTTGGGAGAGTTTTTTACTCTGTCTAACAATGGTTCGCGTCCATGCACGCCACGTCTTTCCCGAGTTATGATCTATAGAAGTCATCACTATCACTTTGTCCGAGGACTTATGACTCAACCTAATATCTTTATCAGCCAAGTGTATTCCGAAAACAGAGCTTGTTTCGAAGAGAAAGAGAAAGAGAGAGAAAGCTAGAAAGAGTGAGGAGGAGTTATTGAAGAAAAGATAGAGAACTATAGATTACTTCGTGAATTCGAAGGGCTTTGATTGGGTTTATATGCAACCAGATAACAGTAAACATAAAGAACATTGCGTCGAGGTTACTACTTCTTTCACAAAAATGATTGAATTATCAGTCAAAAGTAATCTTTCTTATGAAAAAGAATTTGGATAAGGAACACCGCTAGCAAAGCACAGTTCACAATGAAAATGGTTTCTGTAATTTTTTAATGAGCCCTTGACCCCAGGCTACACACCCTAGCCGGACGAGTTGGAGAGGCTGTGTGGTTGGCATCATACAAACCGGGACACACACGTGGTACCCAGGCAGCTGGCGCTGTAAGCAGCAATGGCATGCATAAATGGACAGCTCGTCCAAGTATCGCTTCCATAAACATTTGTCGTCGCATTCTCGTCCAAACCTGATTCTACTATTTTTAAAGCCTACATTTTTCCAAACACGCCAATTTTTCGCGTTTTTTAAAGCTCCATCTGCATCATTCTGATCCACCACTTCAATTATTCGTCTAAATTTAGTTACCCCAAAATTGGGTTCACTCTGGAAGCTAATCAAAAAAGTCGGGAACTTGTTCAAATACATATCTCCATCAGTCAAAAGTATACCCAAAACCGAGCCTATTCCGAGGATAAAGAGATAAATAAAGAGAAATAATAGGGAAAGTATAAAAATAGAGAACAATGGATTAACCCATGAATTTGAAGGATTTTTAAATGCTGATGATTTAATTTTCAGCTTTACAACAATCCTAAAGTTACACTTCCTAATTCGATGAGCAAAAAATGGAATGACTACTTCTGTTATAATAAATTGAAATACTATGTTTGTAAGAAAAAATCAACGTGTTGTATACCAAAACGGTTGAAGGAGAAATTGGTTAAAGCATAAACTGTGCAACGTTTGAAAGCATAAATCTTTGATGGGCACTTTTGTTTCAGCTAGCTATCACCTGCTATGTATTACCATTTCTCGATTTGACGTCTTTTCCTGTTCCTTGATGTTTTCGAGGTTGTATTGCCTTCTACATACAATAAACAATCTTCACCAGAAGCCTGTCTTCTCGAACTGCTCGAGAACTGTTCACTTTTCTTGAGTCATGGGAGTCAGCCAGCTCTGCCCCAGAACATTCCATGAATGACGTGGTTGGGCTACTCTCATGATGTTAGTCCTGTTGACTGTATCGAATTCACTCATCGTTGCGCCATGTTTACCCAACAGGTCAGTTGTACCACGCTGTAGAAAAGTATCTAAAAAATAATTCCACGATAGTCCAGACTTCTGTGGGATTTTCGGAAAGTTTCCAACGGTAAATTACGAAGAGGACACTGCTTGCTTGGGCTTGAGATATCAGGCGATTTCATGACATCGCAGCCAGTT